CAGTGAGGCTTATGTTTAAAACAAGAAAAAAAATAAGAAGAAGAACTTGCCAGTGGGGTATAGAAAAAAAATAACTTTTTATACACTATCATAGCAAATTCTGGGGTCAGTAAGATTTTTTTCATGTTTTTTTTTAAAGTCTCTTATGCTCACCAAGGTGCATTTATTTGCTCAAAATACAGTAAAAACAGTAATACTGCATACTATTATGCTTATCATATGTGTATTATATTGTATATACACTACCATTCACTACCAGTCTGGGGATTTTTTTTAATTTTTTAAAGTCTCTTATGCTCACCAAGGTGCATTTATTTGCTCAAAATACAGTAAAACTGTAATATTGCATACTATTATGCTTATTATATGTGTGTTATATTGTATATACACTACCCTTCACTACCAGTCTGGGGATTTTTTAATTTTTTAAAGTCTCTTATGCTCACCAAGGTGCATTTATTTGCTCAAAATACAGTAAAACTGTAATATTGCATACTATTATGCTTATTATATGTGTGTTATATTGTATATACACTACCCTTCACTACCAGTCTGGGGATTTTTTAATTTTTTAATTTTTATTTTTTTTTTAAGTCTCTTATGCTCACCAAGGTGCATTTATTTGCTAAAAATACAGTAAAAACAGTAATATCGTATACTATTATTACAATTTAAAACTGTTTCTGTCTTAATATATTTTTAAAAATGTAATTTATTCCTATGATGCAAAGCTGAATACTCCAGTCTTCACATGATCCTTCAGAAATCATTCTAATATGCTGATTTGGCAGTCAAGAAACATTTCCTATTATTATTATTATTGACATTAAAAACTGCTGCTTAATATTTTAGTGGAAATTGAAATACATTTTTTTCAGGATACTTTGATGAATAGAAAGTTCAAAAGAACAGCATTTATTTGAAATGGAACAACATGTCTTTACTGTCACTTTATATTAATTCAATGCATCCTTGCTGAATAAATTATTAATTTCATTAAAAAAAAGTTACTTACCCAAAACTTTTGAATAGGAGTGAAGTTAAATAAATATTATTGATCAATATGACTTTTTCCTATTCAAGTGGCCTTGGTTTCATCGTTAGAATTGAAAAGTCAATTCATAGGTGAAGGAACTTTATGAAAATTATGAACGATTATGATATTTCTTCTTTAGAATAAGAGACATATTTAAATAGAGTCAAATGGCTCAATTTTGAAGTCATGTTGTCTTTAAATTCTGCTGAAATTGTTAACAGTGCTGTTCATTTTTCACATAATTTTCTTACAATTAACAAGTATACAAGCCTTCACAAGAAGAATTCGGATTGGAACACTGAAAGATTTGACTATTTTTAGAAATAGCCTTTAGTTTTGATCATAGCTTAGCAACTTTATGATTTGCTGATTTGGGACATTTTTTCAAGAGCAACTTATTGGAACAAAATTTGGATAAAGTATTTTAAGTCCACTTACTTGGAAAATAAACAATGTACATCTTGAGTGCACATCTTTGTAAATTGTAGCTATATTAGCATATAAATGACCTCAAAGCTTACTAACATTGAGTAAAAAGCAAAAAAATATTTTTTAACAATTAAAATTAGCTTGATGAACTCACTTGTGTCACAACTTGCCCCAAAATATCCATGACGACAGCGGCATTCGTTTGGTCGGACACAAACCTCGTTCTCATTACAAGTGAAGTTACCTTCGCAGAGAGCTGAGGGGAGAAGGACATAATCAAGATATAAATCAAGTGACACTCAGGAAGTGATCTAACATACAAGAAATGACACTTACGCGTTAAACACTCCTCGCCTTGCTGCGCCCATCCGCTGCAGCATGTAAACCCTGGTGACCTGAAGATAAGATGACAAATCAAGGTCAAATGAAGTGCACTCTTATTGGTTAAGGAATATTCAATCTATATTACATTAAGCTGCTATCTGGAAGGACAGCATCTTGCATCAGCATATTTTGCAAATGCCTTGACCAAAGTCTCAACCGTCCATGAGAGATTTAAGCATGTGGCTCTTAAGGAATATTGCAAATGTCTGGATGCCATCTGTAGCTTCACAAGCGCAGATGTTTCAGATAGCGAACATATACTGACTCACATCCAGTCGCACAAACACAAGTGTAAGCATTCATTCCACTCTCCACCCTCTCGCCGACAGCAGTCATGCGAACCAGACGAGCCGTTTGAAGCAATAACTTTGTTGCATTGTCAAATGAGCGGCTGGATCCCAAATAAGGCCTGATTTGATTAGCAATGCAAATGTCCTTCATTAGGCCAGTAAGTTAGTCTAATAAACAGTCTGGACTCCATATAAATAGAAAGCTTTGAAATAGCCTTTCCGAATATTAAATTGAGCTTGTTTAAACGCAGTATGTTCTTCTAAATCCAAAATATAAAATGTCTGTATCCGTTAAAAAAAGACAAAGAACTCTCAATCTCATTCACAGTTTTTCATGCACCAATTCTGAATACATATTCAGTGACTAATTACTTAAATTTGGTTCACTTATCTTACGGCTTCAGAAGAATTGAAATATAGTGCAGGAGTCAAATGCATCTCCTTTGTGTTCCACAGAAGAAAGTAAATCATACGGGATTGGAACGAGATGAGTGTGAGTAAATGATGACAGAATTTTAATTTTTTTTGCATGAATTACTTTTAATCCATCACATATGATCCCGACGGAATTTTGCATGTGTCTGTGGTGGGTGTTTTATTCCAAAGCATCTCACAACAGGCCTGCTGCAGCAACGTACATGCATTTTGTTGACAGAAAATTATGGGAGGAAGAGCGAGGAATGGGTTTGGGATACAATAAGGACTGGAATTGAACCCATTTCTCCCATATGAGCGCCACAACACAATTATCTTAAGGTTTTAACATGCATGTTTGCAGATTAATATACTACTGTTCAAAGGTTTAGGCCAGTTTTTTGAAAGAAAATTAATACTTTATTCAGCAAGGAGACATGATCAAAGGTGACAGTAAAGACATTTACAATGTTATAGAAGATTTTATTTAAAACAAAAATTTTAATTTTTTTTCAAACTTTGTTTTTCTTTCTTTCTTTCTTTCTTTCTTTCTTGGAAAAATTGATGCTTTTATTTGGCAAGGATGCATTAAATTGAACAAAAAATGTCAGTAAATACATGTATAATGTTACAAAAATATTTTTGAAATTATGCTGTTCTTTTGTTTATCAAAGAATACAGAAAAATGTGTACCAGTTTTTATCAACTGTTTTCAACACTGATAATAATAACAAGTATTATGTATTAGAATGATTTGTAAAGGATCATGTGACACTGAAGACTGGAATAATGATGCTAAAAATTCTGCTTTTACATCACATTAATAAATTATATTTTAAAATATATTGCAATAGACAAGTGCTATTTTAAATTATAATAATATTTCACAATATTACTGTTTTTACTGTATTTTTTATCAAATAAATGCAGCCTTGGGGAGCGTAAGACACTTTTTACCAACCCCAAACTTTTGAACTGAGTGTATATCAAGCGATTCAATGGAAAATATGTGTAAGTGCAGTTTCATTTAAAGACTCTCTTACATTCCATGCATGAAAAACAAAATGATCTTCCTTCTCTTCTTTAAACCTTTCAAATTATCCCCGCTATCTCTACTTCAAGTGGCTTCCCCTTAAAATTTAATACTCTCTAAGTGTTCCTTGGATATAAGACATATGCCGCCCCTCATATTCCTCCACATGTGACCCCAGAGAGGCCTTGTCCACACTTTGGCTTCCTCTGAAGCGTGGGGGCCACTCTCTGCCTTCAGTTTGTTTAGCCTATGTGTGCGTGTCTTAGCCAGACGTGATCTACACCACAGCCCTGACTTCTCTGCTCTGTGTCAAACCCAACATACACACCGCAGCCAGAACGCGAAGCTAGGACAGTGGATGAAAGCTTAAACAAATGGAAATTGAGCATCAGTCAACAGCTGGGGGAGCCAAACTTGATTCAGCAACAATAAAGTCCTGTGTGGAATTTCTGAGCAAGTTTGTAAAACGAACGTGAACTTCGTCAACGTCTGTGGTGGGTGAGAATCTCTGTTTGTGAGAATACAAACTAGATCATATCTGGTGGTTTCCATTCTGATCTCAAGTACAGCGATAGCCATCTGGAGCCAGTAATCACAAAGTAAACAAACTTTTAAACAACAGAGTAAACCATTCAGTGCTTAACACTGCTAGTAGAATTCCCCTAAAATGCCTAGTGAGAAGAAATACAACATCATTTTGAGATAAACACCTAAACATCTAAATCCAGCTGTTTTATATAACATATAGTGCTTTGAATTAAAATCATGCATCTCACAATGTCATTTTGTATGATTATTAAAACATGTTGGAGAAAGAGACCGACCAATATATATATTATTATTATTATTTATATATTTATATTAGAGATTATTTCCAGGTTCACCATGCTCAACTACTTTTGTTAAGTATTATTGTTAATTGCTAGTATTTGTATTTGGTATTTGGTGTCGCCCCCTATCGCTCAATGTGTGTCAGACCCAGATGTGAAACAGGATGACTGACACAAATGCATTTGTATTTGGAACAACATCACAAACAACGTGTGTACAGTTTTAAAAGTCACTTATTGCTGTGCACTTTCATATATAGTGATTAATTAGTGTTATAACAAACATATAGTGAAATAACAAACAACCTGTCCTTTCAATTTAAAAACAAAAAAAATATATGTAATTTTTAACTTTTACATTTTTAACTCTTAGTTTAAATACCTCTTTATGTTCAAGACTGTTTTGTTGGAGCTCACAGAAATGGGCCTAGTGTTTAATTGCCATTAATTACTGCTGCATTCAATAAACCTTAGTTTAATAACATTTGATTTTCAAACGCATAAGGCCTTTGTATGATCAGACGACATTAATGCTTTCTTTATTTATTTCCCCCCCTAGAAGTTATTCATCTGACTTACCCTGGAACTTTGCACACGTTCCTACCCTTTGGATTGAGTTCTTGACTGAAAACAGGGCACAAGCATAGAAGCAAAAGCAATAAAACCGCTGAAGTGCCCTTTAGATCCATGGTAGAAGAAACAGCATCTCTCCATGCGCCTCTTCTGCTCAGCATTCCTTTTCTTTACAATCTCTAGAAGTTCAGATGCGTTATGATCTTCTAAGTCTCAAACCCGTCGACTTCAATCGTTTGAAAGTTATTTTATCCGCATAAATCGTTTACCCATTCGCTTTCAGACTCCAAGGGCTGAGGCAGAGAAGAGAAAAGAGGAAGAGAGAGCGCACAGAAGTTATAAAACCAAACAGTTGTTCGCTCCGTCCAGCCCCAGTTCCTGAAGAGAACTTCTGCTTTTATTATGCGCTCCAAACACTGGTGGACGAAACTGGTGCATTGTTGGAAACTTCTGGTATTCCCAATTTTCCGCTATTATTTCCAAAATGCAGGTTTTCAGGGAGCATATGCTGCTTCAGAACGTGTCAAGAAAAGAAAAAAAAGCTCTGCAAAACCTTAAGTACGTCCATTTTGGAAAAGAAACGGGGACTTTAAAACGGATCGTTGTCCTCTTTCCAGAAGGGAAATTCCTAATTAGTCATCCTATCTCTGGCTCTGGCTCTGGCTCGAGAAGAGAAAAGAGGAAGAGAGAGCGCACAGAAGTTATAAAACCAAACAGTTGTTCGCTCCGTCCAGCCCCAGTTCCTGAAGAGAACTTCTGCTTTTATTATGCGCTCCAAACACTGGTGGACGAAACTGGTGCATTGTTGGAAACTTCTGGTATTCCCAATTTTCCGCTATTATTTCCAAAATGCAGGTTTTCAGGGAGCATATGCTGCTTCAGAACGTGTCAAGAAAAGAAAAAAAAGCTCTGCAAAACCTTAAGTACGTCCATTTTGGAAAAGAAACGGGGACTTTAAAACGGATCGTTGTCCTCTCTCCAGAAGGGAAATTCCTAATTAGTCATCCTATCTCTGGCTCTGGCTCTTGGGAATTCGGTGCTCTCTTTGGCGTGCAGCGGTTTCCCAAGTTCAGACCGAAACCACCCGAGCAGCTCCTCATCGAGTGGGTGTGACTATAGTGTATATGCTTAGGACTTGGGACCATGGACCCATCCAGCCCCCCTTACTGCCCCGTCAAACGCGCTGCCAGTCTCGTCTCCTCAAGTACCGCGTACCCATGTAATAAACTTTAGTTGTTTAATGTAATATAATAACTACACTCTAAAAAATGCTGGGTTGTTTCAACCCAACTTTGGGTCAAATATGGATTAACCCAGCTTTTGGGTTAAAAATTTAATGTAAAAATTTAACCCAACGGTTGGGTTAGTCCATATTTGACCCAAAGTTGGGTTGAAACAACCCAGCATTTTTAGAGTGTACCTACCCGTAATTATAACCACTAAAAGAGAAATATTGAAATTTGAAAAGTAAATAAACGAATAGAAGTAAACAGATAAATATATTAGCCTACACTCTAAAAAATGCTGGGTTAAATACAACCCAGTGCTGGGTATAATAGGGACAAACCCAGCAATTGGGCTGTTTTGACCCAGCGGTTGGGTTAAATGTTTAACCCAACCTTCTGGGTAGTAACCCAACCGCTGGATCACAACAACCCAATTGCTGGGTTTGCCCCTATTATACCCAGCACTGGGTTCTATTTAACCCAGCATTTTTTAGAGTGTAGTCTTTTTGTTAAAACGTCCCGGTCTATATATAAATACTAGTGGGTTATAGGCTTACTACATATGTGCATGTGGTAATATTGGATTTAAGTCACACAGAACAAATATTTGTACAGCTAAGATTTTTATTTAAAAGCATATTATTTATGTGGTCATTTTCACAAATAGCTAAACAAATGCATGCATTTTTACTGTACATTAAGATTGATCCATCCCCTTTACAGATTCTTCCCCTCATTTATGATGATACTTAATATGGTTTATTAATATAATTGTTGTAAATTATAATACAGAATAGGCTAACCCGGACCTAAACTTTTGCAGTCTGAATAAGTAAACAAAATGTTATTTTATTTTGTTTATGAATAACTTTTGGACATCTCCATAAGTTTTGTCAGTTTAACTAAGTAGTTTTTTTTTTCAGTCTTGTAAAGTGAATTACTTTAACAATGCAACGGCTCCCCCCTCTGTTAACTTCATAGAACATGCACAACAAACGTTTACGTCACAAACACAGCTGCAAGAGCAAAACTAAACATTCTCAAACTAAACGACAAAGAGAGCAACAACAGGATATTTTAAATAAAATCCTCGGTGAATAGTTTTTTCCTGCATTATCGAAACCCACACGTTGCGTGTGTAACCTGAAAGTTAAACTAAACTAATTTGTACATTTATGTACCATCTCGGAATTATGAAACTGCAATGTTTACGTCACGGAACGTTTATGCAACAGCATCCCTTTTATGGCAGCACATGCGCGTATATGTTGGTAAACAGAAACGTCACTGGATTTGGGCCAATCCTTCAGCCCAGATTTGAATATGGGCGGGACCCCACAGGTAGCGTTAAATATAATGTACTTAAGGACAGGGTGCAGGAGATTTCTTTGTATCTGCTGTCTGTACAGAAGTCTTGAACTGATGTCTCTCCGCAAAACTCTCCCTGCCTTTGGGCGCGCGACTCTTGACAGGAGTTTGGTGATCTCCACTCGCCATCATCGGAGTGTGCAAGCGTTACATCCAACCAAAACAAACACAGAAGACGAGTCCGTGGACAGCAGAGAGCATGTATCTTACAGTAACAAGATCGCCATTGACTTTGAACAGACGAAAGAAGCCTACAAGAGCAAAGACACTCTTGAGTTGCTTAGAAGCTTGGTGGTTTTCAAACTGTGCTCCTATGACATCCTGGTTGATAAGAATAAAGAGGTATGTAATGTATTTAATGCTTATATAGTTATATTAACCAAAAAGGAGAGGCATCCTGTTCTAGTACTGTACTGTATATGAAAGACTTCCATGTTCCTGTCTGGAATTACTCCTGTGGCATTGTCCCAGATGATTGGCAGGAATGGCATCTTGCCAGGGAGCAGTCATGTGGTTAGTGTGTAGTTACTAGAGCCAAGATTATACACTCTAAAAAATGCTGGGTTAAATGTAACCCAGCGCTGGGTTAAAAAGGGACAAACCCAGCTATTGGGTTGTTTTGACCCAGCGGTTGGGATGTTTTGAACCCAACCGCTGGGTCAAAACAACCCAATAGCTGGGTTTGTCCCTTTTT